TCTCCTTAAAGCGATAATAGAAGTAGTTCAAATGCTGCATGGAATTTTTTTGTTGCCAAAAATACTCTGTCCTTCACTTGTTTTACAGTATATAATTTCCCTTTGATTTGTGAGCAATTCAACAAATAACGAATTACCAGACTCTTAATCTTTTGGAACTTTGGAACATAAAATTGAACTGTAAGCAGATCTCAGCATTTCCCTCCGCTTACCCATAAGCAAATGAGTTTAATGAGTAAATGGAATTATCCCTCATTCTGCTTGTTTTTGCAGTTCTTGAAGTACTAACTTGTTTACTCGCTTATGCTAAATTAATGAGAACATGTTGAAGATTACTTGACTTTTTTTCTTTGACCAGCGAAAGTACTTTCTGTTGGTGCAAATATAGATAGAAATTTAAGAAAATCTGTAGGCCTTAGTAGATGTAGGAAATTTTACCATGTTGAATATGTCAAACTTGTTGTTGTTAGGCGCCATCGAGTCAGTACTGACTCATAGCGACCTTATGCACAGCAGAACCAAACACTGCCTGATCCTGGGCCAACCTCACTACTGTTGCCACGCTTGAGTCCATCAATGCTACCACTTGGCCAATCCATTTCATTGGGGTCTGCCTCTTTTTCTCTGACCCCCTCGACCTTAACAAACCTGATATCCTTGTCCAGTGACTGGTCCCTCCTGACAATATGTCCGAAGTATGAGAGACAAAGTTAGGCTATCTTGGCCTTCAAGGAGCACTTTGGCTGCATTTCTTTCCAAAACTGATGTGTTTGTTCTTTTGGCAGCCTGTGGCATTTTTAATATTCTCCAGCACCATAACTCAAAAGCATCAATTCTTCTACGGTCTCCCTTATTCACTGTCCAGCTTTCGCATGCATATGAGGTTACGTCAAACTTAGTCTGGTTCTATTTCTTTTGGTTTTCTAGAGCAAAATATTTAAAATGAGGTATGTGATTTAACTTGAAAATATCATTACTTCTTGGCCCTAAACTGAATTAACATGACTTTATGATACTTTAAGGAGTCCTGGTGTGGCGCTGTGAGATAATATGTTGTTGTTGTTGTGATGTGCCGTGGAGTCGGTTCCGACTCATAGCGACGCTACACAGGGTTTCCGAGGCTGTAAATCTTTACGGGAGCGTGAGATAATATACTGGATTGCAAAGTCAGTTTGAATTGCAAGGTTGGTGGTTCAAATTCATCAGCCACTCCTTAGATATTCTATACAGAATTGTTATGAGTCATAACTGACTTAATGGCACCTATCATCAACAGCAATGATAATTTAAATAGATTGAACTCTGTATCCTGAAATAATAGTAGTGTTCAGGAAGAAGTTATATTCTGGTAGGTTGGTGTCTTGAATACCTTGTAGAATCTTGAGTTCTAAAAGACGCTAAAGATCATTTAGCCTGATGTGATTCTTATAGGGGCCTCTTGTAAAATATCTGTGGCAGATTCCACTCTAGCTCTCTGTGAGTTATTTTGAGAGACAGTCTGTTTCATTATTGGACATTTTTGAACATCTGTAGTTTTTAAGTTCGTTCAGTCCAGATCTACCGATGTAACTTATTCCCATTTTTTCTAGCCCTATCCTTGGAGCAATACAGAGTAAGTCTAATCCTTATTGACTTCTGAAGATAGAAGATAGCTCTTTAAATAGCCCCTTAGCCTCTTTGTTTTCAAGTTAATCCTCCTTCAATCATAAATACAAGGGTCCTTTAAAAGGTTTGTGGAAAAATTCCATGGTCTTTCCATTCTATTTTCCACAAACTTTTTAAAAAGTCTCCTCATATATGTAATTTATTTTTTGTGGAGAGTATACAGAGCTGAATACACACTAATTCAACAATTTCTGCATGCACAATTCAGTAACATTGATCACGTTCCTCAAATTGTGCAGCCATTCTCCCCCTCCTTTCCCATAGTGTTCCTCTACCATTAGCGTAACATCCCTGCCTCCTTAATTTCCTAGTCTTTCCAGTTACTGTTAATGTGATCCCATATAGATAATTCTTAAAAGAGCACAGTGCTTGGTGTAGACATTTTTTACTAATTAAGCTATCGGTCATTTAGTTTATCAGAAGTCCCTTTTACAGTGTATCATTCTTGGAAGAAATCTGTTGTACCCGGAGATCCTTAGCATTATTGCAAACCCTTTTGAATGTTGACTTTATTTTGCTAGGGATTAAATGTATTATTTTTATTTTGAAAGCTTATTTTCCATTTTTATTAAATTTTGGTTTTACTGGTCATTTTAGTCTTTTGGTTCTTCGATTATATCCTTTGTTGTAAATTTTTTCTGAGTTTATCTCGTACTTCATGTAAGTTAAAAAACAAACAGCCAAGAGGTTAATTTTTGTTTTTTATCAGTATGTTTTCCCTCCTAATTATGCCTTTGATACAACTGTTTATAATAAGCCATGAGTGTTCCCATTTAACATTATTTGACACTTAGATATTGTTGTTAACAGCATTTTCCACTTCTCTGACCACAAACCACAGATGTTCTCTTATCTTTTTTCCATGATGAGAGATGTATCATATGTCTATCATTGTAGTTCTTACTTTTTGAGACATAAAGAGTAATACTCGTCAAGGCTTTTGGAACATACAAGTTTTTGTTTACTTGTTTTTGGTGGTGGTCATGGTGGTGGATTTAGAGGAAAAAATACTATTTAAAATTGAATTTCAATCCTGAAATTTTTTGAATAGTTTTTCAACACTTACTAATGCCCACTTTTTTATTGAGCACTTCACATAATCTATCATATCTTGCTTAAATAAATAAATGTGATAGCAACCTATGAATTTGACACTATTGATACTCCTATTATACTGATGGAAAATAGAAGGCACTAAAGTTAAATAACTTTCAGTGGCATGTCGAATGGAGTCTGAAACCCAGACAGTCTGACTTCTGGAGCCCATGCTTTTATGCTCTAGTTAGAACTGTTTGCTGTCTAAATATGTTGTTTTAAGTTTTACTGAGTCAGTTCCAACTCACAACAACCTTGTGTACAACAAAACAAAATATTGCCCGCATCTGTGTCCTTATCATTGTTGTTACGTTTAAGCTCATTGTTGCAGAATCTGTGTCATTCCATCTCACGGAGGGTCTTCCTCTTTTCCTCTGATGCTTTACTTTACTATACTTTTCCAGACACTGGTCCCTCCTGAAAACATGTCCAAAGTGTGACATCGTCTCATCTAAGGAAGAATCTAGCTGTACCGCTTCCAAAACAGATTTTGTTCATTCTTCTGGCAGTCCATGGTATATTCAGTAGTTTTCACAAACACTATAATTTAAAGGAGTCCTGGTGTGGTGCTATGGGTTAATGCGCCAGACTGCAAAGCCATGTGAACTGCTAGGTTGGCAGTTCAACCTCACCATCTGCTCCTTGGAAACCCCATACAGGGTCGCTATGGGTTGGAACCGACTTGACAACACTTAACAACAACAATATAATTCATAGACATCAAATCTTATATCTTCCTTGATCATTGTCCAGCTTTCACATGTATATAAGGTGGCTGAAAATACCATGGCTTAGTCAAGCACATCTTAGTTCTCAGAGTGATATTCTGCCTTTTTTCCCCCCAAACACTGTTAAAAGCTCTTTTGCAGCAGATTTCCCCAATGTAGTATGCTGCTGTTATTATGAGTGTAGATTGTTTTTGCTTTTCAAATATTTTTAACAATTTCAAGTTTTTGTGAGGAAATAGTGGTGGAATTTTATTTGGCACCACGGGTTAATGTGCTGGTCTGCAAGGTCAGTTTGAACCGTAAGGTGTGTGGTTCAAGCTCACAAGCTGCTTCTCAGAAACCCTATTGCTATGAGTTGGAACCAACTGAACGGCACATAACAACAACAGTGGCAACATGTGGTAGACTCAGATTTGGTTTCTGGCCAATATAATTAAAGCATACATAGCCACTAAAGTGTCTGTCAATGGAGGCCTATGTTTGGCTCGCTGAACTGGTTTTAGCATAGGTTCCAGACTAAGACAGACTAGGAAGAAAGTCCTGGAGATCAACTACTGAGAATCAGCCAGTGAAAACCCAGTGGATCTCAGTTACTCAGTCTGCAAGTGATCATGGCTGTGGCCCAGGACTGGGCAGTGTTTCCTTCCACTGTTCACGGGGTTACCACGAGTCAAGGGCTAATTTGACAGTGGCTAGCAAAAATAACCATAAGTTTATATAATTTAAAAGATGCATTGTTACTAGAGGACACAGATGATTACTAGATATGCTATGTTACCCTAGCTTTCTGTCGAGACCACATTTGTAGAATTTCTGGGGGGCTGTTGAGTCATTCATTCTCAATTCTTACGTGAAGCCATTGGGAATATATAGTGCCTGGAGCATGGTAAGCAGACCCAAGGACGACATCTATAATTTTGTGTGATGCTTAGATAAAATCAGTTGTGACCAAGTATAATAGTTTATATGTTATGATGTTTACTGCCTAATAATTATTCCCCTCCCCCATATCATAAGTGGAGTTTTCTAGAGGCTGCATGACAATATCCCAGTAGACAGAGTACAAAAACAAATCTGAGAATCTAGCTGTCTTCCGTTATGCAACTATTAATGAGATTTATACAAAATGTAAAACAGTGCCACTCTTCTTACTAAATCTGTTTTATTTTGAAAATTACACTTTTCAAAGATATGCTATTTGTGCTAACATAATGGGCTTAATGCTTTTAAATGTATGAGTAAGTATTTTTAAATTCTTCATTTTAGTTTCTAATTTCATTGTTATCCAATAGATAAAACCCACATAAACAAAAGCTCTTTGGGATTCTCAAAGAATGTAGTAAAGGGATCCTGAGACCAGTTTTGGAACCATTTGTTTAGGCTAGTTGTATCATGATGTGTTAATGAAAATCTTTATATAGAAATAAAAATCAAGAGTGTACTGACATGTTTTTATAAAGGAAGTATTTTTATTAGTTTATTAAATATTTTTCTTTTTAATTATGTAAACAGGAGACTTAAGCCTACTGAACGACCTCTTCAGATGGTTTATGATTATTTATCCAGGCTGGGCTTTGACGATCCTGTGCGCGTGCAGGAAGAGGCAACAAATCCTGACCTTGGCTGTATGATTCGATTTTATGGTGGTAAGGATTGATGAGCGCCTTTGTGAATATGTTTACTGTTTTTAAGTGTATAATTTGTGCCTCTGTCTCCCTTCAGCTTTTTAAAAGTTTTTATCAAAAGCTAGTTTAAAGCCAATTAGTTAAAAACAGAACAAAAGTAGGAGGTCAGGGGAAGAAAAGAGAAGTATTTGCAAAAAAACAAACAAAAAAGACTTCCTTTTGCCTATCTATTAGAATTATTTGTCAGAATCCTGATCAAATAGTTCTTGCTTTTGTTGTTGTTTGTTATTGTTAAGTGCCGTCTAGTCAGTTCTGACTCATAATGACCTGTATAAAGTTTCCAAGGAGTGACTGGTGAGCTTGAACCACTGACTTCCAGTTCAAACCAACCTTGCAGTCCAGCGCATTAACCCACAGTGCCATACCAGGACTCCTTTAATTCAAGCTTTAGTATTAATTCTATTATTCAACTGCTCTTAAAGCCCTATTAACTGCTGGATACTTGATATAGTTCAGTAATATTGGGAAAGAGCTTGTAGTTAGGTGTTGTCTAGTTGGTTCTGACTCAAAAAATTAACTGATGTTTAACAGAATGAAACATTGCCTATACCTCTGCCATCCTTGCATTTGTTATGTTTGAACCCATTGTTAGTGCTCAAACCATGTTGTGTCAGTCCGTCTTATTGTGGGTCTACCTCTTTTTCCCTGACGCTCCACTTTACCAAGTAAGTGTGTTGTCCTTCTCTAGGGACTGATCCCTCCTGATCCCACAGAACAAGAGACGAGTCTCAGCATCCTTGCTTCTAAGCATTCTGGCTGTACTTCTTCCAAAACAGTTTGTTTTTCTGGCAGTCCTTGGTACTTTCAATATTCTTCTTCAACACCATACATCAAATGCATCAAACCTTCTGCGGTCTTCCTTATTCTTCATTGTACAACTTTCACATGTATGTGACATGATTGAAAATACCATTGCTTGTGTGAGGCATACCTTAGTCCTTAAAATGGCTTCTATATCTTTCAAAAGGTCTTCTGCAACAGTTTTGCCTACAGCAATATGGCCTTTTGATTTCTTGACCGCTGCTTATATGAGTGTTGATTGTGGATTCAAGCAAAATGAGGTCTTTGATAACTTCAGTCTTTTCTCTGTTTAGCATGAGGTTAGTTATTGGTTGTGAGGATTTTTGTTTTCTTAACATTGAGGTGCAATCCATAATGAAAGGTGTGGTCTTTACTCTTCATCAGTGAGTATTTCAAGTTCTCTTTGCTTCCAGCAAGCAGGGTTGTGTTACCTGCATGTTGCAGGTGGTTAATGGGTCTTCCTCCAATCCTGAGGCCATATTCTTCTTCATATAATCCAGCTTCTTGGATTATTTGCTCAGTAGACAGACTGAATAAGTATGGTGAAAGGAGACAACACCTGATGTACATCTTACCTGATTTCAAACCATTCAGTATCCCCTTGTTCTCTTTGAATGACTACTTCTTGGTCTATGTACAGGTTCCTTATGAGCACAATGAAATGTTCTGAAATATTCATTTTTTGCAGTGTTATCCATAATTTGTATGATCCACAGAGTTGAATGCCTTTATGTAGCTATTAAAGCACAAGTAAATATCTTCTTGGTATTCTCTGTTTTCAGCCAAAATCCATTTTATTGTCAGCGGTGATATCCCTAGTTCCATGTCCTCTTCTGAATATGGATTCAATTTTTGGCAGTTCCATGTTGATGCACTGTTGTAACCATTTTTACTTATCTTGAGCAAAATTTTACTTGTGTATGATATTAATGATACACTATTCAAGGATTTCAACATCTTTCTTTGGACTGGGTACAGATATGAATCTCTCCCAGTAGGTTGGTTAGATAGTTGTCTTCCAAATATCTTGGCATAGACTAGTGAGCACCTCCAGTGCTGCATCAGTGTGTTGAAATATTTCAGTTTGTATTCCATCTATTCCTGGAGCTTTGTTTTTCACCAGTGTCTCTATTGAAACTTGGACTTTACTATCAGTTCATCATTATATGCTACCGCTGAAATGGTTGAGCATCGACCAATTGATTTTGGTACAGTGACTCTATCCATTCTTTCCCTCTTTAATGGTTCCTGCATTATGCAGTGTTTTGCCCATTGTTATTAAATGCCATCCATTCGGTTCCACTAGTAGTGACCCTATATAGAGTTTCCATTCTTTTCAGGAGCAGAAAGTATCATCTTTGTCTTTAGATGGCCACAGAATCCTTCAGCATTACAACTTGAGGCTTGAACTTTTTCTTTAGTTCTTTCAGTTAGAGAAATGCTGAATGTGTTCTTCCCTTTTTGTTGTTTAACTCCAGGACTTTGTACATTTCATTGCAATACTTGACTTTGTCCTCTAGAGCTGCTGTTTGAAATTTTCTTTTCAGCTCTTTTACTTCCTTGTATCTTCCATTCTCTTTAGCTTCTCTATGCTCAAAAGCAAGCTTCAGATCTCATGTGACATCCATTATGGACTTTTCTTTCTTTCCTGCCTTTTCAATGACCTTTTGCTTTATTCTTGTATGATGTTTTTGATGTCATCGTTCACCTCTTCTGGTCTTCAGTCATTACTTTTCAGTGTGTCAAATCTGTTCTTGAGGTGATCTGTAAATTCAAGTGAGATATATTCAGTCATATTTTGGCTTTTGTGGACATGTTTTACTTGTCTTCAGCTTTAGCCTGATCTTGCATTTGAGCAGTTGAAGGTATTTTCCACAGTCTGCCTCTGGCCTTGTTTTCACAGATGATACCGAGCGTCTCCAATGTCTCTTCTCACAGATGTTGTTGTTGTTGTTAAATGCTGTCAAGTCGGTTCCAACCCATAGCAACCCTGTATAAGGTTTCCGAGGAGCAGCTGGTGAGCTTGAACTGCCAACCTTGTAGTTCAGACAGCTTTGCAGTCTGGCGCATTAACCCACAGCGCCACACCAGGACTTGTGTATTCCTCTTTTATTAAGTTGTTGACAAGGTATTTGCAAATTTGCAATGAGTAAATCATTGGTCTTGTAAAATTCTATCTTGCATTTTCCAGCATCATTTCTATCACCAAGGCCATCTTTTCCAACTACAGAGCCTTCTTCCTTGCCAACTTGTGCACTCCATTGACCAATAATTGCCAGTACATCTCAGTTGCATGTTTGATCAGTTTTACATTGAAGAAGTTGGTAGAATTATTCAATTGCATCCTCAGTGGCCTTAATGGTTGGGGTGTAAATTTGAATAATAGTGGTATTAACTAGTCTTCCTAGTTTGTTGTTGTTAGATGTCATCAAGGTGGTTCTGACTCACAGTGATCTAATACAGGATTTTTGAGGAGCAGCTGGTGGGTTTGAACCACCAGCTCACCAGTACTTGTCTTCTAGTGTCACATCGGGCTCCATGGTCTTCCTTGTTAGGTGTATGGATATTGTCCTTTCAAAGACAGCTTTGTATTTCAAGATAGATCTTGAAATGCCCTTTTTGCAGACATTGAATGCAACAACATTCATCTTGAATTTGTCATTCCCAGCATAGTAAACTGTATGATTATCTGATTTAACACAGCAAATGCCAATCTATTTCAGCTTACTAATGCTTAGGTTATTGATCAGCAAATGAAGGTCCCTAAAGCTTCTGTTCCACATATGTCATTATGGTCAGCTACTTTGTAGAGGCAGCTCTCTTCCCAGTTATATTTTGAGTGCCTTCGAACCTAAGGGGCTCATCTTATGGCACAATGTCTTAAACTTTATGCTGCTATTCATAAGGTGTTCAGTGGCTAACCACTCAGGAGTGGCCCACCTCTTCTTCTTCCTATTCTGTCTTAGTCTGTAAGCCCTGTTGAAACCTGTTCAACAGGGGTAACCCTGCTAGTATTTAGAATATTGGTAACATAATTTCCAGCATCATTGCAAGACAGAAGCCATCATAGCATGACAAACTGACAGATGAGTGGTGGTGAATGGAGGTATTCATTATGTGCAACTTGACATATGATCAGCATATGAGAGGGCTTCAAAAACTTAATGGATGAAGTCCCTTTGTATCTGTCGAATTTTAATATTTATGTTATTATAATAAAGAATATTTGATATTCTAAAAGTTTAACGGTGTCCTGATGTGGCACTATAGGATAAACACTTGACAGCTAACTATAAACGCACCAATTGCTCTTGGGAATCCTGTGCACGGTTGCTATGAGTAGAACCTACCTGATGACATTTAAGAGCACAACATAAGTCTAGTAGACTTTAAAACTAGAATTTTTAACTGTGTCTTCTCTTTTTACATTGTTTTTTCTGTAGAGACAATTGTTCACTTCCTGATCCCTTTAATAATAAAGTTGGAAAGTTACTGTGCAATCAGTCATCCATGCAACCTGATAAGTTCACAGTAGAAATGCTTCATGGGATTTTTGTGACTGTGAGCTCAGTGGAAGCAGATTGCCAGACCTTTTCTCTTGTATGTGTTCAAACACCCGATTTTGTGGTGATTCGTCGAGTGCAAACTGTTTGCTTCATCTGGGAATCTCCAATGTTGTTAAGTGCCATCAAGTCAATTCTGACTCATAGTCACCCTGTATTTGGTTTCTGATGAGTGGCTTATCAGTCCAGTGCTTATCCTGGAGTGCCACATCAGGGCTCAAGGAACCTCCTGTGTTATTCTTAAGTGCTGTCGAGTCAGTTCTGTCTCATTATGACCCTGTATAAGGAGTCCTGGTGTGGTGCTGCAGGTTAATGTGCAGGATTGCAAGGTTGGTTTGTGCTGCAGGGTTGGCAATTAAAGCTCACCAGCCCTATACGTTTCTGAGGAATGAGTGGCTGCTTTGAACCACTAAGCTTGTGAGAGGTCCAGTACTCATCCTGCATTGCCACACCAGGAGTTCAGAAACCTCCAAAAGTAAAGTTAAAAATTCATTTCCACCAAGTTGATTGCTACTCATTGTTGTTGTTAAGTGCCATTGAGTTGGTTCCGACTCATAGTGACCCTGTATAGGGTTTCTAAGGAGTGGCTGGGGAGCT